GATTGCCCAACCTTCCTTCCGAGGAGTGGCTGGTGGGTTTGAACCGCCAGCCGTCTGGTTAGCAGGCAAGTGTCTTAGCCACTATGCTACTGCCTCAGAAACCCAAGGAGGGGTTGCTATGACTCGGAGACCACTCTACAGCACATTACAACAACAACAACATCACTGAACAATTTGTACAGAAAATGTCAAATGGGAACCTAATTCACTGGGCAAACTTTCAATGAAAACACATAATATCAAAAAAAAAAAAAAAAAAAAACACAAGTATACAGAAGTTCAAGGTGATCAATTAATAAATGAACTGCCTGCTAAAATGAGAATCACTACTTCAGAAGTTTCTTTAATGTATTATGTTCATCTTTCAATGAAAACGATGAGGAAAAAAGGTACAGAAAATATGAATGTGTAGTGAAGAATGAACTTTACCCAAAGAGAGATCTGACCTTTGTCCCAGGTTCCTGGGAGGTAAACTCTAAAACTGTGGAATTTCCTAAGTAACTTTGTTATTCAAGGTGGGCCCCTAGGACCACAATTTTTATGCTAATGAGCTAATTCATTATGGGCCCCTAGATAAATTTACTAAGATGCCTCAGGATTAGGGGCTATGTCAGAAAGACTAGAGTTGGAGCCCTGAGCCATGTGATAACAGCCCACCGCCTGGGAGTGGAAGGGAACTAGAGATTGAGTTCAATCACATGGCAAATGATTAAATCAACCATGCCTACTTAATGAATCTTTAAATTAAAAACTCTGGACACCAAGGCACTGGTGAACTTCCCTGATTCAAACTATGCTCTGTACATCAATGTGCATGAGGGTTACATGTCCTTGGGGCTGCTTTGACTTTAGACCCTCTAGCTCTTATTTTATGCATCTCCCCTATTGGCTGGTTCTGATTTGTACCTTTTTGCTATAATAAATCTGTGATCGTAAGTATAGCAATTTCAGTGACATCTGTGACTTGTTCTACTGAATTAACAAACCTGAGAGGTAGGGAATTTGAAGCCAGCTGGTCAGAAGTGAAGGTGGCCCTGGAAACTCCTGAGCTTATGGCTGGTGTCTGAAATGAGGGCAGACTTATGGAAGGCTATGCCCTTAACTGGGAGCTCTGATGATGTAGTGCCTAAGGCATTTGACTGCTAACCAGAAGACTGGTGGTTCAAACCCAC